GCTTTCCGTTTTGGCACTATTTACCCTTTACTGCCCCAGCCATCCGAAATCAGGCCAGTTCCTGACCGACTTTTTTCTCCGTGGGCAGAATTTCGCTGAAAACTTGCTCCCAGGGGTAGTTTGACCCCCTGAACACGAATATCACATCCGCTCAACCCGAAACCTCCTGGCGCCCGCACCACGGGCACCGGCGCCAAAATACCCCAAATCATTGGCGCCTATGGCGCGGGCGCCAGGAAAACTCGCTTGGCGGAATGTGACTATTATGATTCCGGAGGTCAAACTGACCGGAGACACACATTTGAGCAAGTAATGCCATGGAGAAAAAGGTCAGTTCAGGAACTGGCCCTGATTTCGGATACTGGGGCAGTAAAGGCGTAATTTCCCTGTTTGTATCAACGAGGTCACGCCAAGCATCTGTTATGCAACTACAATCATTGAAGTATGAGAATATTTCGAAGGACTATCCACAATGGTTCGGTGAGGGTACGGGTAGTGGTGGATTGAAGACAGTTTCCGCGATCAAGTGTCATGGATAGTTGCTGCTCAATTATGAACCAGTAGCTGATAAGTAACTCCCCAAAGAAGAAAAAAAGCAACTTGGGGTCTCTGTGCAACCCCAGGCTCACTAATCACTTTTTCGCATCTCCCAGTAAAAACACTGACGGCAAACGCGTAACAAGAAGAAACTCTCAAAAACTTCACGTATGGATCTAGGATTACGGTAGCTTGCATCTAATAGTGCAGTCGAGCTTTTGCATAAAAAAATGCATCACTGGTGAGTTTAACGCGTTTTACCTTGCGAGATGGGTTGCAGTTGACTGTATGTGCTCCCTAATGAATAAAATGTGATAAAGGAGAGCAGAATTATTTATGGGCACGAGCGCGGTCAGCAAAAAGGACATGCAGTTCCGATTAATGCCCGCCGCCCCAACAAAGAACAACTGAGCGGCCCTCCGTCAGAGAGACATCTAGCAAGTGGGCGGTCCAACTGAGCGGGCGTTAGAACTAGAACTTTCAGCGGCTGTAGCACGCTCCTCGCTCGCTGTGGAGTCGCGAAAGTGGGATAGTCTCTTATCTAGGAGACTACTTGCACAAGGAAGAACGACCACTAATTACTTGAGCGCGGGGGCAGTCTTCAAAAGATTATAGGGCTTGTATATGGGCCGAGAACTGAGGTAAGGGTGAGGTTGGTGAGACGCTGGGTACGATGACGATTACTGCGTGCGTCCTCGTTAATCTGATGCTGTCGGTATTCTCCTTGTAGAATATTCATGATCGGTTTGTCTGGTCGACAGTTGTGATGGAATGGCGTCATTCCTGGGGATACAAGTGCATGCCCCTTCTGTCAGAAGGAAGCGAAATCACATACTACGTACTCATGGTCAGTCGTAGAGTAAGTGCCCGTAAGTGCCCTTTCCGCGATGAGAAGCCTAGGCACCAGGGCTCAGAAATAAAATTGCGAGCACTGATTGAACTGCCATCGAAGAATAAGGTAGAAGGAGCCGTGGAAAACACCTCAATTGCTATCTGGCCAATTTTCATATTGAGCAAGTGTGCGATGAATCGAGACACAGGGCGCGAACGAGAAAGCACATAGTCGCGGATATAATCAAGCTAAATATCAATACGCCATGGGTGAGATTGTAGGCTATAAGCCGTGGCCATAGCTTTTACATGCCCCCAGAGCTCTTACCACGCTTTTTCGAGCGGCGAAATGATACAATATGCGAGGCTACGACCTCCATGTCGTGTTCAGGAGAGGAAATCTATCTACCAGGTGTTTTTAATGGCAGTGGGCATGGTGGCTGGGGCGGGCGGTTGCCTCAAACATCATTGCTGGAAGGGCTAGGTGGGTACGGCCAGATACTCTCTCGCAGCTCTTCCATCAGTGACACTGGCAACAAGCGCTCGCCTCCAGCACTCGTGCCCACTGCCTTCAAGGCACGTAGAAAGTATGACTCCATCGAATTCAAACTATGAGTTGACATTCCTTGCCTCATTTGTTATTAGCTCTTATTCTCTGAACGAAGTGGACCGATTTAAGAACTTTTAATTTCGGTCGCTTTTAATTTCACGCCTACGTATGCTCAGCCTACCAAGGCCTGCCATCTTTACCTCAACTACATCCTCTTGGCGACATTGATACGATTTTTCCCGGATCTCGGATTGCCCTGGAGCCAAATTACAGTTTCCAGTAAGCGTCTATCGCTTGAGAGTAGGGTAGATGTCTCTTCTCGATCAATTTCTCTTCGATCCCCAAACTGTATCAGGAACGAGCCAGTCTTTGGACCAAGCTCCACCCATCAAGAGTACGCACTACTCATCGGGGGTGTGCCCCCTCATTTCCCGCCTACCCTCATTTTATAGCCCTACCCATTGCTACTCAACTGACTTTTTCCCAGCCTCTAGGCTCTTCTGCAGCCGAGTAGCGGTTTGTCGTCTATAACACTGCTGACTTTCTTGTCCTAGCCCAGTCCTAACCCGATTTTTCCAGGTTGCTGTTTAGGTGAGACCGGATTCCCAGACAAATAAGGCAACAAATAGATGTGTTAGGAACGGTTGAGTTTTTATATGCCATCGAAAACGGCAGACGCGTACTATTCGATGTCCAGAAACCGTGCGGAACCTCAAAGGCACAAAGGTATTCTACTGTCCTTCAAGGACTTCACGGAACATTGCCTCGTTCTCTTTAAACACACCAAAAGTCCCGCCACAGACAAGTGCGCCCACGTCGCATGGTACAGAGGGAGAAGCCTACGGTCAATTTGTTTCCTCGTTCCCCCAGGGCAATGCACTACCAAGAAAACGACGCTAGAGAACCAGTAGGGTGCACCTGCTACTTCACCTCAAGTGAAAAGCCTGTCTTCAAGAGAACTGAGGTCTTTACTTTCAGATCGAGAGAGGACCTTAATTTTGTAGGTTCTCTCTCCCGTAAGGTTGACTGTGAAACCGCTCGCCTTCCAGCATCACATATTTTGGTGTTTTGCCCAACATAAATACATTCACAGAGTGACAAAAACTGGCAAGTGTGAGAGAGTGTACGTTCACGGACGAAGTTCCTTATCGATTCCTTGAACTCTGCTGAGAAATGTCTACGATAAGAACAGTATGAGCAGTGTTTGCTTTGATTGCTGAGATATCAGCGAACATGAGACGCGCCTCACCTCGTAAACGCGGCGTCATTGTTCAGAATGCAGCTTTCCGAACTTGTCGCTAAGGAGTTGCATTTACTTAACTACGTGATTACTCGACCGACTACCAGCTTCAACGGTGTCAGCTCGTTCGAAATTAAGGTAGGTTTTCCAACTGCAATTGCATACGCCTGCGTTGTTTATGTTGTTTGACTAGCAAGTAACATGTAAAAATTGTGGAATGATTGACCTGTCCATCTTGCAAAATGGTCCATGAAAAAACCCCATAATTTGCCTTCCCTGGATGCACCATACATCCTTCTGGTCCGTACCTTTGTGGCTTCTCTATGCTTGTTTGGTTAGAACATTCGGTCACCGCATTCATGCCCTCCCCATATACACTAGTCCAGTCATGACTTACGCTTACTTCCGAAGTAAACTTCTGTGGTACGGTTTTCCACCTACGCCATCTCTCAAACCTCTGCCAGACATGGTTACTGTTGAAGAGCGGTTTCATACCTAAAAAGCAAAGTTATAGTTTTCTTATATTCTAAGACAGTAAAAGGCACAGGTAAAAACACCTAACACCGTTTTACACCTAACACTGTTTTTACGACCTAAGGTGTGATTATTTTCGTGGGCTTAAAAGAGCGAAAGTCGCAGCTGCCTATGGTGTGCCACTGCCACCATAGATTGAGATGCAAGGGCGCTCGGAGCTCGTGATGGCCAGTAACCCCGCCCCAGCTAAGTCCAAACACCTGCCCTCGTCCATCTAGGCAATTTGCATTAGGGCGGTCGTCAACGGGCCGCAGCGCGTGCCAGGAACTATTTGCTTTTTCCAGGCTAATTTAGTCATTTTTTCCAACTTTTCACTGTTTTGGCTACTTTTTCCCAGATTAGCAGCTCCTTATCTTCACAAGGTGGAAAAAATGACTAAATTAGCCTGGAAAAAGCAAATAGTTCCTGGCACGCGCTGCGGCCCGTTGACGACCGCCCTAATCAACTGCCCGGATGACGAGGTTATGAACTGCGAATCAGGGCACAGCATTCGATGGGGATTTTGGTCGAGCTTTTACGACCCCCCCCTTTTTTTTCAGGGGCTGGTACGACCCCCCCCCCATGGCTCCTACGATGCGATGGCTGGACCATGGCTGACTATGGTTGTGGTTTATACTCGGCGAAAAAGTTGTCGAGCGGGGGTATGTAGTAAGCAGTGCGACGTACATGGTACGGGCGTACATACTAGCTATAACACAGTAAATTCATAAAAATCCACCAAGTGAACCACATAATTCCTAGCCAGAAATACGACCCCCCCTCCCCACAAGGACCAAATTACGACCCCCCCCCTCCAAAACGTCCGCAAGGGGAGAAAAATCAACTATAAAAATAAATTTTTCCCAGCCCAAATACGACCCCCCCCTTTTGACGGCCAAATACGACCCCCCCCCCCATAGGGAATCCCCAACCAATGCTGTGCCCTGCTGCGAATGCTTGCGCGGGCCGGTCCGTTTGTTCTCGTTCGTTCTCTCTGTGTGTGTGCAGCCTCTGTGATTCTTATTCACGCTCATCTGGCCTCACTCGAGCAATCGCTGTATCTCTTTTTGCTCGGCAATGTCTGGACCAACTAATAGTATCACTCGGAATTTTACGATAGTTTACGTCAATCGTAATTCCGTGTAGGCGAGGCAGGGTGTTCTCGTGCTGCAGTGTGCGACCAATTCTGATGTTGTGCACAAATGTCACTGGAGGCAGCGAACTCGAGAGTGTCAATTCAGGGGAGGCAAAACTATAATAATGATGTAATAATGCCGAGCAATATCAACTTATGCCGACCCCTCAACATTCAAATTCGAATAATCGGGCTGAACGACCCGATATGGTTACTTACTGTGCATAACTTTGCGCCGGACGACAAAACCTCTGCTTCACCAGGCAGTGGTTCCTATCCATTTAGAGCCTCTTAGTTGATCTGTACCCTTGCAGATTGCGATGATAATATGCCTGTCTATTTCTAAGCTTTTTTTCTTCTCTCTAACTCCGGAGCAATGTAAGGGGAGCAATAAGCTGAATTGGCGTGGGCTTTGGTAACGAAACCGCGGGCTTGAACCTGCTCGCTTGAGGTCCCCCTTGGTTTGTTCGCCTGGGGTCGCAGACGAATTCGTTCGTAACAGGTTAAGCCCCAGTACTGCTGTCGTCCCTTCCGTTCTGGGCCAAAGACCAGGATTTTGCGGGTGCACTCTTTCATCTACCTACTGGGTAGAATGACCTCATAGTTCTGACACAATAAGGGTCCCGGTTCTTATCCCTTTCAGAAAACTTGCAGCCTTTTCGCTCGCCCTCGTTCTTGCCTACATTTTTCACAGTGCAACTTCTTGTCTTTTTTAGATTTAATTGCTTAGGTCTGTGGCACACCCTCGAGTACTCAAATGAATAAATAGATAAATATTACGATTGTCTTGTCGCATGCCAGATTTCATCTGCTCTTAACTCCACACATAAGTCAACTGGCAACTGCAAATTCATTTTCGGACCGAATCACCTAGAGCCTGTAATGCAGATTGTGTCTTTTAATCCTATTGAATTATTCTCTGCTAACACTAGAGTATAAGAAACCTCAATCAGTTTTTTTCTATAATTATTTTTGCAGATGATTTGAAAGTCCGCAGTCATCTCGTTTCCTTTGACCTATATTTTCAGAACGGACATATTCACTATCGCGTGTTTTTCGCAGAAAATGTGGAAGAAGAAACAATGTCACTCTCTGACGCTTCCAAGCTTGTAGGTTTGTCGTACCTGCTATATGTTGTGGATCTCTTTCATTCAGTTCTGAAGCTTCCAAAAACGAGTGCTTTGCAGGCTGCTTTCTTCAACTCGAAATTCTTTCACGAGACAGTGACCACAAATCGTCTGGCCATTCCATGTGGTCATTTTGAGCGATCGTTTCGAATCGAAGACAACAACATCTGGTTACTTGGTGTCGTCATACGAATCGAAAAAGGTCGACAAAAACATCATCTCAGCGAGAACGAGCTGTACCTGGTGAGCGGATAGGCCTGAACCCTTTCGAATCGTCCCTGCTTCTGGGTACGAAAAAACCTGTGTATTCTCAAAAGCACGATAAACCGACTAGGCGTATAGGATAAATACACCTAACAGAAAAGAACATCATGTCCCTGAGCAGACGCCGCGTGGCGCCTTTTCCAAGGCAAATCGCTCTCTAAGCATCTCAGCAAGAATTAACGTGCCTGCGGATCGCCAGTCCCTCCAAAAGCTGTACGCCCACATATGGCCACATCCGCCACTAAATGACCACGGTCGGACCAGTAGTGCACCTGTTTTTGGTGACCTTTTCCCGATATTTTCTTGTGGTTTGCTGGGAATTGTCTAAGGATGATCTATCTAAGGCGTACGCTTCCACTTCCATGAAGCGGTTAATGAGAGTCTTTGACCATATTTGGCTGATTCGTCACATCTTCGCCTCATTTCGCCCCTGTGTACTCTACCACTTCCATTTTCTGCAGGGCACCAAATTATAGCACATGCCTACCCCTATACTCAAAATCTTACGATTTACGATTTACGATTTATTATCGGCAGACTATTTGAAGAAAACTCAGATATAAGCAGAAAACCACAAACATAACTCCGATAAGTAAAACACAGTAAGGTCATAAACTGAAAAGTCCTGCGAAGTTGAGAGGGAAAACAGCGCAGAAGGGCAGTGGGCGCCAACACTGCAAGTCCATGGCAGCAAATTTAGGACTCCGGATACCAACTTAGTAGGTCCGCCAACCTTGCTGATACCACTCTCCAACGGCACGCCAGACTGAACTTTATAGTAGGGGGGAGGGAGGATAGTAGAACACAACACATACACAAAAAGCAAGAACATTAGACAGCAATCAAACGGTAAAAAAATACCCAAAAAGAACCACATCATTACATAGCACTCTTATGAAAAGGTAGAAATTGAACCAGCAACAACAAATCACATCCTGGCCTCGCCAAACGCGAACATTGTTCAGTTTCTGTTCTCAGAACCAACCACGAGAAATCATAATTTTCTAAGTTTATTTCTGAACGAAACGGAAGTGCTCGAGTTAACAACCTCTGACGGCAAGTCATTCCAGAGGCTTACAATCCTCTGAGTGAAGGAATTCCGAAACTCAGCTGATCTGGTTTTCTCCCTTAGAATCCTAAAACGGTGGCCCCTGGTGCGACCAATAGTTGGAGATCTTTTGAAGAGGACATCGAAATCTAAGTCCACTAATCCCGCCGAAAGCTTGTAAACAAGCTCATGTGTATGCGTGGCTCTGTTCTTGGATAGAAAGTGCGGCGGCTGAACTTTTCGTTACATATTTAGATTTTGAGACAGTTGTAATCATGCCTTTGTTCACATAGTACACAGGTGAACTACTTGCCTCTAAAGTGGAATACTCTAACGAGTACCCAACGCGTCTGCTAATGATCCAATATTGTCACCCACTACCGTCATAGGATGGAGCATTAGCATTCACCCTCCTAACATAGCGTAGCACAAGTCTACCCATCTTTTCTGGGACACTCCTGGTGCCTTCCTCTTTTTTGCCCTACTAAAAGGCGATGCCTCAAATGAGGAAAGCATGGTGATGGCCTGGCCCTGCCTATAATACCGTTGGACTGTGAAGTTTTTGTCTACTGCCGTCGCTTTCTAACAACGGTGATCATGAAAACACTAAGGGGGGGGAGGGAGGCGTGCAACAGAATCGTCCGGGGCAGCTCCCTCCGCACGCGGCGCGTCGCGCGGCGAATGATGCGTCAGCTCGAGGACGTGCGTTTGCTAGCCTTGAGATTGGAGCAATTGATCAACTACAGCGTACATCCGTAACGATTACTAGATTTCATCAATAATTGAAAATCTAACGATGTTTCCCTGGATAGTAACACACAATTGTTTGGCGGATCCATAGACGCATCTTCAGGAAATAAGCAAATATAAAAGAAAATAAATAAGGCTGTTATTCTCCCTATGTTTATGTGGTTCACATGATTCGCGCAGTCGTCAGCGTCAATATAATAGACGGATGGCCAAGTTTTTCTGTGAGCTGCTGTAAAAGATGACACACCAGAGCAAATGTTAAAGACCCTAATGAAGTTCATGCTCTAATGAACTTTTTCATTCTCTATGAAAAAACAAAGAAAAAACTAAAAACTTAACCGCCACTCAAGACTCGATCCTGGGTAATATCAATCTTTATCGTCCCTTTCAATATCCCTTATTCAAACGGCCAGACGCACGATTCGCCTTCTCGCCGCAAGGCGCAGGCCACACCCACCAGCTCCATCGGACGATTCTGTTGCTACACACCCATGCTCCCTACGGAGCGATTTGCAGAAGCCAGCCGATGTCAATGTTTTATTTTCTTAAATCTGATAACAGGCCCTTTCTCCGCTGAATGGAAAACCCATACGATTACTAGTTCTGAAGTTCGATTATAATTTCAAATGACAAGACCCTAATGAAGTTCATGCTGCAAATGTGAAGTAAAATGAATTAATTTAAGGTCGCCGAAAAGCTAGGCGCAGTACATGCGATCAACACTGCATCTATGGCACCAGAGGTATGATTCTTACATCACTTCTCGAGAAGTAACAAAATTTAAGACTAACTTTGAAAATCTCTTTGAATTCGTGGAAGCCTAACACGAACCCGGTTTCAGTTTCTCCGAGTGATCGAAGAGAATCACGAGAACATTCGCCGTTACCAGGTCTCCATTGAGCCTCAGCTACTTGGCATTTTAAAGGAAGCGCTCAGGGGCGAATTATCTCATTACTTTTCTTTGCCAATGGAGGTCATACCAAGGGTGAGTAGGAAAGAAACTTTGCATTCAAGTTTGTGTTGAGGTTTTCTTGAGTATTTTATTTGATCGAAACTTTCTCGTATAAAATCTTGACGAGGACATCTGGCGCATTCACAATCTTGAATCATTCAGCGTAGTCAGGGAAGGAAGATAGAAACGAACATGTGCTTTCTCGTTGGTCCTTCTCTTTGTTGCCTTGAAAGGAGGGGAGAACCAATGACTAAGGTGCAATGGTTGACTGTCCCCTCCCATACATCAGCGGGGACTGTCCCTTTTATGTGCAATGTGTGAGAAGGGCACGATCTTGTTCACTCAGCTATTATTCTCAAAGATCTTGTAGGCTTGGCGACATCACTACTAACCTAACCTCCTAGGTGGCCCTCTAATTTGTAGTCCGCTGAAATCCACTTTCACAATCCCTACCTTAAAAATTCGTCTACTTATTCGAGGTCTGCATTGTAAGATTTAATATTTTATACAGTAGCATTTTTAAAAAGATAAACGAAAACCGCCATCCAGTTGGGAGAAAAAAGCCTTTCCATCACTACCAAATTCATTCTCAGGCTGAGGCTATTCTCAAACACAACGATGACTTCACCGAACCATCAGAGCGTGTCATTTGCCATGGTCATCTCACAGCGGAAAACTGCCATTTCAAGGAGATATCGCAGTACAGTGTAAGTAGGAGACAATTTGAGGAATGGTATTCACAACGAGAACTGTCTATAAAAGAAGGAATCGTAGAGAGTTGTGCTCCTTCCAACGGGGAATTTTCTTGAAGATTTCGAAGATTTCAGAGTGGTGTTGGACCTCATGAGAACGAAGTGGTTGATATCAGCGATTGGGAGGTGAGCTTTTAGCTGGCTTTAGTGGAATAAATGCCATGAGTGAATCAGTTGCTAGACGCATTTGCACTTCGGCGACGTTGCTCTCGACCTCTCTAACCTCATTATTTCTTCAGCTGAACCGAGTGTGAGGAGAAATAAGTACATGTCGGTAGGTTCGGTCCATTATTCGTTTAATTTGAACGCATCCATGGACCGTACGGGAGAAGACTGCCATTCTGCCCTCCTCACTGACATGGCTTTTCCGTCAAAACAGAAGGTGGACTGCTTTGAAGGAGAACTTCGGATAATTGCTGCCGTCTATCTATGCCAGGATAGATGTGAACTGTGCTTTTAAGCACTCAGATCTTCTTTTGAAGGAAAGTGCCGTGCTTACTGTGTGGGCTAGGCTGTACAGTACCCCTAGACTTAAAGCGTTGCTCATCATTGACTGGCGACACCACATTGAAAGCTGAGATCAAAAGAGGGTTCCCCCTTAAGGCCCTATTTAGCGCTACACGATACACTCCAGCTCGCTGCGGATGATGGGGGTGTCAAGCGGCGCCAGCTCGGTTCTTCTCCTTTTTTCGGCAGGCGACAGGACTGTAGCATATCGTATCGTTCGTATCACGTTTTTCTACTTATACTGTCGTCTACCCGCTTGAACAACATTGCGCCAGAAGCCGGTTACCCGCTTGAACAACACTTGCGCAAGAGCCGGGGCGACCCGGCTTCCACTGACACTCCAGACCATCCGCAGTGAACAAAGACTGTATTGCGAGCGACCGAAACGTCGGCAGGCGAACCAACTGATCACGCCATTATGCTCATTTCGTATAATATCCTGCCACACAGAAGCCAATGTTCTCGCCTTTTTATCAGTCACTATCTTTTTATCTAGTCTTTTTTTAAACCTGGGTGACAAAGTTGGTGAGATCGAGTAGCTACGCGATTCTCTTATCAGAACATTACCGTTCCTTTGATTTCCTTCCTATTTCATCAGAGTGATTCAGGTGGTAAAGTGATGAAGTACACAGTAGGGAAATGAAGCATTTCATATAGTAACGCACTAGAAAGAACTTCGTTTAGAGTCTCTGCAGATCAGTTCCATTCGGTTTTCTAAGAAATTCAGTATAACGGCGCTCCTTTTTTGACCTTTCAAAACCCTTATTTCAAATTGCAGTAATGTTCTGTAAGGTTGCAATTTGCCGTTGCTAGCTTCAAAGCGGTGTGTACGACAATTAGAGGGACTTTAATTTGAACTTCAAAACTTGAACAGTTTTGCTCCCTCAGTGGTCGTCGAGCATCTCCTTCCGCACCCCAGCATCTCGTCGATAGTCGACTATCACAGCGCCTGCCTTTGGTGGTGCAGTCCACATTGGTTGTATGGGCGGGAACGGACGACTGCGGCGCGCTCCCATACGGCCTTATTATTGAGAGGATCACAATGTTCGACTCAATATGATGGCTGGCTGCCCGCACCCATGCCCACTCCCCTCTCTGTCTGAATACTATCAAATCACGTATTGTTGGACTCATGACAGTTTTTATCTCTCGGCAAGGATACTGGTATATTACATTAACGTATTCTGAGAAAGACTAACAGAAAGACAGTCATCATTGCGACGGCGGTGGGCGTGTCAGCCCAGTATGTGTGTCACACTGTTGAAGCCGTTTCAGCCTGTTTTGTGGAATTCGCGTAATGCGACAAAAAAGTTTGTAGAAAACGAGTAATACGGAGGATATAATACAGTCATATCATTTGCTCGCTTTAAATACTGGTGGAGAGCGGATTTGGCACCGCGCCAAACGCAGCCGCACTGAACCGCCGACAGTACGTAATGATGAGGTCTGTAAGATATGCGATGATTTGTAAAAGCTGTTTCTTCCTTATTTCTTTCTGCCCCTTTTTTAGTGGAACGCTAAAGAGGAGGGCGCACAAAGAGAAAGGGCACTGACGCCTTGATTGAGGGTTCCGATAAAATTCCATTGCAAATTCGAAACCGCTTTGGACAGATTTCCATGAGCAAGTTTTCATCTACTGATCAGAATTGATTTAGATCTTTCGCCGTTACTACTACTCCCGTGTGGATTACCGCCCAACGAATTTCCGTCTTGCCGATCTCAAGAGACTTTTCCGCAAGCATCACAAACATGCTGTCCTATCAGGGTACACATATTTTGAAAACGTTGTTATTTTTGTGGTTTTGAGATGTAAACAGAAAAGGACTTGGAATGAACAACGCGGAGCGTTTTGGATTTTTATGAGCGTTACAGGGGAAAAACGAGGCGAAAACGGCGTAACAGTTGGCGTCCCATGTGCATCAACCTCAAAGGAACTAAGTGACTGAACGAGGGTGTGCTACAGAAGGCCCGCTGATTCAACTACCCTAGAATTACCAGCTAGTTCACGCGCTGCAGCATGGATCTCCGACACCCGCATCTCCTTCAGCTAAAACAGTGGTCGCATTAAAGTTTAGTGTGCGCTGTCCGGCCTAGGGGAGGCACCCATTGGGTCCTATCGACATTTGAACCTATAAACTCCTATGAAGTTATGAATTAGCACTCAGCCGAACTTCTTCCAGTTGGCAACTTCACAGTAGCTCACAAGTATCACCAATGCGTATAAGCTGAAAGTAATAGCGAGCTATCAAAAGGCCCATCCTAAGCTGAATAACTCTGTTTGGTGGATAAATGCCCAAGCAAAGAATGAGGCATTTATCTTCGTGTAGGTTGGCCTGTGTCACCTATGCGGGCAAGAAACATTCTCAGAGTCGAGATCTGCGCCTAAAGATCTATTCCGCAGCGTAGACCCTGCCCATTCAAGTCACACTGTGGATGGGTGTGATGAGAACAATGGAACCTATAAATATAAGGTTGATACGGAAAAACTGCGGGAGTATCTGACTCTTTCCCCCTGAATTGTGGCCAAAGTGTGGCCCAGACATGTGCAAGAGCAAGTCCCAGAGACGTGCACAGAAAAACTCTCCATTTTCCATCTCACCTATTCAAGAAAAGATTTTCTGGGAATTCGTGCTATGGTGGGTGTTCCGGCTAGGGTCGTACTCTAGTGGGTGGGGCAAGTGGGGTGGGTGGGTTCAGGGAGAATGCGGAGTAAATATTTTGTTGTAAATATTGCCTCTGAAAGTATTAGGTCATCCCATTCAAACGTGCCGCCGGTTTTTTTGAATAAAACAAAGAGGAGAATAGATAGAAAAGTGATATTTTAGCTTTAGGATGAGTAAATCCCTCCTTCACCAAT